GAGGGTGTGCGCTCCATCCTCTCCTCTCCGCACTACCCTCCCTCTCTGTCATGGCAGGTGAAGCTCCACGACAGCATGTAAGCATCGAAGCGAGCAAGGAGGATGGGAGGTCTTTCTTCCTTTTCCATTCTACCTTTCTGGAGGTTTGGTTCGGTCTTTTGTCGCCAACACCGCCTCTGTTGATGATCTAGGCAATCGCGGATCCGAGTGCATCCATCCATCAAGGTCATATTCTTTCACTATCATGGATGTGGTCGATATCTTTCTTGCCACTTCTTTGTTTTTTTCTTTTTTCTTTTGGCTGGCGGTCATGGATGGCTTGCACAGCCTCATCACTTGCTTGGCGCTTCTTGCTCGTTCCCTGTAGCGAAGAGCGAAGAGGAGGAAGGATTCGCGCTTGACTCATCATCATTGGATTCTTATTCTTATTATTCACACCCATGACTTGCTTGGTTCGAAAAACGCCCCGCTTCGGTCGCTTTCCTCCACTTTTTATCAAGCATTCCCCTCCCTCCTTCAGCTCCCCGATCACCATCACCTATCACGTGACACTCCCTCCCATTGGGCAACCGCTATCATTATTCCCAACACTTTAATCTCAATCCAACCAACCACGAACAGGATCGGGATAGAGATCGGGATCGGGGGGATGGCTGGCGTGGTTCGTGATTCGAAATGTCAGGAGCATACCCCACCCCATGCTGTATCAAGTTTCACTGCCATCACCTTTGCCACTCAGGATCATCGTTCTTGAACCCCTTTCGACTCTTGACAGCGTTCCATCAGATCCGAAGCGAGAGATGACCCAACTAGAACGGCTCGTCGGCCATGGATTCGCTGTTTTGTTTTCTCCCTCCTCCTTGCCTTTCCCCCGCGATTCATGACGAGCGTAAGAAGGGAGATCGTCCATGCCAGTCGAGTCTAGAATCGTCGCCTCCAATCCGGTCCAATCCCCTTCTCGCCTGCTGTTGTCGGTCGACATTCAGCAAATGGAGCGAGACCGGCCCAACCCATCCATGCTTGGGGTGTCTGCTCCCAAAGAACACTGCGTACGGTTCGTACAGCGTAGGATGTGGTGCATACATGCAGTGTCTTCATACAGCACTTTCATTCACCATGCACTTTGCGCGTGCAGCTGTGAGTCAGTGTGTGAGTAGTCACACTCACAGTCATGAGTGTTTGTTCCATCTCAGAAGCACGCCTGTTGAAAGAGGAGAGCGGAGCGAGAGCCAGCCGCTTTCCCAAGCCGCATCCCTTGCTCCTCCTTTGTGAAGCAAGCGAATGGATGGTTTGTCACGATCTCAAATCTGAGTTGGATAAAAAGGTGGGTTGGATCGGGAGGGAGGAATCACATGCACGCCTCCATACCAAACGCTTTCAAGCATGCGTTTACCGAACCGAACCACCGACCTCACCTCGGTTGCTTCGGGTCCTCCGCTCTTTTGTTTTGGTTCGCCGATTCGATTCACCCACCTTCCCTTTCCTTGCCATACACTGCCATTCACCGACCACCTCGATCAAGCGCCCAACAGAATCTCCATCTTCAATCACAGCTGGGTCAAAGGTCGAGTTGCATTTGTCCAAGAGGAGATCTAGAGGTTCACGCAGAGGGAGAGAGGGGGGGTTGGAAAGAGAGAGGCGGAGAGAGAGAGAGAGAGAGAGAGAGAAGAGAGAGCCAGAGTCAGACAACACAGTCGCATACACCTGGAATCCTTGTTCTTGCTCTCCCCCTTCTGATCGTCAAAAGGCTCTCTTCTGGTTTGCCATCGGCTATCGGCTATCGACTAAGGTCACTGCCACCAACACCACCATCAACCCCCTTTTCCAACAAGCATCGGAGTGTAGGTAGAGAGAGAGAGAGAGAGAGGAGAGAAACAGATAGGAAGAGAAACAGAAAGACAGGGGCAGACAGACGGGCAGACCCTTCGATCCCATTTCTGCTGTCCCCTTTTCTTTCATCGGCCCCTCTATTCTTTTCCCTACCTCCTCACTTCTCCTCCATCTCGCTCGCCTTACTCCAATCCCAGTCACAATGACTCCAAACGCTCTGAAAACGTGGCTCTCCTCCAACCTCGGCTTGCAGCTGACCAGCTCTTCGATCGACCTTTTCCGAAGGCAGGTTTACAGGCCAAGGCTCGCCCTCCTCTTACTTGTTCTCCTCGTCAGCCCAAACAACGAGGGCCAACTCGTTTCCCGTTCCTCCTCCATCCAGGTTGATCCGAGCCTTTCTCTTCCCCTCGGTTCGGCCCAACCGATCATTGACAAATCTCAACTCAGTCACAGTCACGCCCAACCCAGGGCCGCCGAACGCGGCAGTTGGATTCACGCAAAGGACCTTCTCGTCCACAAGGCGAGGAAATTCCAGCACAAGGGCAACGAACCTGCCCATGTGGTAGCCAAAGAGACCAAGCTTCTCGAATCGCGAGGAGCACCATCTTTGGAACTTGTCCAAAGTGGGAGAGGCAGGCCAGCCTCAACCTCGCCCAAGGACCGATCTTCCAAAAATACCAGCCCAGAGCCAGATTTGATCAAGCGAGAGGAAAAGACCCTTTGGAGCTCCTTGACTATCCCGATGTCGAACCCCCTCACCCCAACCTTTCTGAGGCACCACCTTTCCACTCCTACACCTCCGACCGCCCCGGATCCCACTTCAGGATCGGCGAAGACAGATCGAGGTGGTCCGCTCCGTCCGCAGTCCCAACCCGCTCCCGGGACAGTATTCAAGCTTCCAAAACCAAGTCTGGGCTTGCTGCTCGACCCCCATGTCCTTCCGGTCATCTTGCCTCTTCATCTTTTGTGGGGCATCAGGCTCTTGGGAATGGCTGTGGAGGACGGTTCGATCCATGTGAGTTGTCGTGGGGACCTTTCTTTCCTTCTTCTTTTTTTTTTCTTTCTCTTTTTTTTTTTTTTTTTTGACTCATCATCAAATCATTCTCAAGGCTAGGGTCGGGCCTCAACCTGCTGTGGTACGATCACTGACCATGGCTTGCTCATGAATGTCGGCCCGCTTGTCTTCAGAGGTCGCTCTTCGGACCACCTCCCAACCCTCGATCCAAACTCTTCTCCCTGACGGAATTGATCCTCCTTTTCATAAGTTCCTTGGCCATCGCCTCACCATCCTTCCTCGGCCTACTGACCAGATGGTGTCGCGAGCACTACACCGGCAGCCCGGATCCGGATCAAGCGCCCATTCTTCCCCTCCAGCTGCTCGTCTTGTTGGAGTTCTTCATGACCTCCGTCTCGCTGCTATCTCCCCTTTCAAAGCTGGAGCCCGCGCTCGGCCTCATCCCAGACACTGTCACTCTTCCCTCCCCTTCTCATTCGCCATCACTCCTTGAACTCCTTCCGCTGCCAAAGTCCTTGGTCGCGTTTCTCACGGGCGAGACCGCGGCCGCTGCGAGCGCTGAGGTCAGGAGGAGGAGAGGAGGCGCGAGGCATGGGCTAGCAGGCCTAGGCCAGCCAACCGCCGCTCATCTCGGATCTCGCGATGGTGATGGAGGAACGTTCAATCATGCCGATGCCAGCGACTTGGACCATCCCGACTCTCCGGTTGTTTCGGCCCCGATCGCGACCCCAGGAGGTAGAGTGGCCCCTAGACACGTTCCACACCTTGAAAATCCCTTGGTCGTCGAGATGGACCGATCCACCCAACTTGCCGCCATGCCTTCCACCCCATCCCGATCGGGTCCGTCCTACGGAGGGGGTCTGACTAGGAGAGGGAAAGCCCCTCGATTGAAGAACCAGTCGGTCTCGGTAGAGACAAGGTGGCTGATCGAGGTCTTGATCCCGCTCCTGACGAGCCTGGTTGGCGCCCTGGAGTATTCCATGGTCACCCTCTCGCTTCCGACCTTGTCGCCCACCTCTTTGCCGCCCGTGCTCAGCCTGCTGAGCTTGAGGAACGAGCTTGGAAACATGACCAAGGTCTGGAGCTCGGCCAGGAGGAGCGTCGAATGTCTAGAGTTTGTGAGGAGGAGGTGGGGGGTGATGGAGGAGGATATGGAGGAGGAAGAGGTCGAGGTGGACCCACCTGGAAGTTGGATATCTAAGGATGATGAAGGGGGGGATGAGGCGGTCGAGGCGAGGAGGAGAAGGGGAAAGGAGAAGACCTCAAGACCTTGGAGACCAGAGAAAGGACAGGAAGTCTTTTGTCCAATCTGCTTCGAGTCCACAAGGTCAGGTTCGTCACAGGCCATGGAGCAGAACGAGCCGAGTCCAGATCCCAAAGCGAGGAGGGAAGCTTGGAAATCTCTTGAACTAGAAGACGTCGAGGAGGAGGAGGGGACCGGAGGTGAGAAGACCCTACCCACCAAAGAGGCGAGGAAGGAGAAGGGTAGGGAGCGGAGGAAGAAGAAGGAGGGGAAGATGATCTGCAGGTTGGATTGCGGTCACGAACTTCATCCGATCTGCCTCGTCTCATGGTTGATCGCCCAATCCTTCTGTCCAACATGTCACGAGGTCCTCTCCATCGCACCACCTCGTGGACTCGGTCGTCATCGTCGTCGTCGTCAACATCGTCCTTCACCCCTCCATCCTACCACCACAAGCTGAGCTTCACCCATACCTTACAGAGGGGACGGGAGTCCAAACCCTTTCAGTTTCCCTAACCATGGTTCTCAAACACCTGGGAAGCGCTCATACCATCATCTTCGCCCCTCGTTTTCTATTCCCCCAACTCTTCTTGTCCTCCCTCTCCCCACCAAAGTCCACATGTACCAATTTCCCTCCCTACCTTCCACCAACCGTCCTTCCCCGTCCACCCCCTTTCGATCCGTAATTTAAATTTCCCAGACCACTTTCGAGCTGAAAGCCAAAAAAAAAAAAAAAAAAAAAAAAAAACACGAAAGAGAGAAAATCAAGAAAAGGTTGCGCAAGTTTTATTTTTTTTTGCACAAAACCAGTGAGATTGCGATGCTGGTTTCTCACCAGGGATGGAATCCGAAGGGAGAGGGAGGTAAAAGGATTGAAGGAGATCAACAAAAAAGGATCTCTACAATCAGCTGTAGCTCCTGTCCGTTTCGATCAGACGACCTCTGGGTTTCGATGGTGTTTGGATACCTATGAGCCCAGCGCTCTTCCCCTGAGCTAAGGAGCTTGGATGAAAAGAAATGGTAGAGCTCTGTAACCTAGAGCAAATCACATATTAAACCAGGAAGAGTGGAACGCGTCCTACCTTCTTATTTCCAATTTTTATTCTAGGCCGCTCGCTCCCTCCTTCATTGGTCCTTAGCCGGATTCTTTATTTTATTCCATTTTGATTTTTTTTACTCCCGATTTCTTTTCCTTCCCCCATTCGGTCTTCGTTTCGGTAGAACAGACGAGCGGTCAAGGGGGTCGAGAAAGGAGTGAACATGTCGCCAAATATCGCCATCCCAGGGATATCGGAACGCATAGACGCTCAAGGAAGGGGTTGTAAGGAAGGGGGGGGGGTGGGGGGCGCTAGAGCTTGAAAAATGAACTGGTATGGATGATTGTAAAGGAACAGGAAAGGAAAAGGGACACGAAAACCTGAGGCACCCGACCAAGCCCGTCACTTTCGCTTGAAGGAAAGGTTCTGTTGATTCGTGACGTATTGCGTCGTTGCAGAGGATATAAAAGGGGATACGTACGAATGGACAGGATTAAGATCGTGACGTGGTTCTTGGCGTGGAAAGGAGTCACAGTGGGGGAGAAAAGGGAAGGGATAAGGAGAGCGAGAGGTAAAAAAAAAAAAAAAAGTGGGGTGGGGTGTGTCAAACATGCAAATCGCTCGCGATGAATCCATCAAATCAAAAAAGGTTAGTGGAGTTGTTGAAATGAAAGAAAAAGGGGTGAAAGGATCCCAAGGACATGACGGGAATCGACACAGTAGCAACATGTCGGCGCTTGGAAGTCGATCAAGAAGGGCGGAAGGGTCAAAAGGATGTCTAGGAAAGGAAAGGGGCCATGGTAGGGTGAATGTACCAGAGTCGAGGTCTTTGCACTGCGTCGCTCAATGCTTCGAGGAGAAGAACCAGCTGCTTCTCGCCTTGGGGGAATTGGTGTCTGCGTTCCCAGGAGCATACTGGTTCTGAAGCGAGGAGACACCAGGATGCCTGTTCACCACCATGGGTCCCGCTCCAGGGTTAGGAGCGGTCGGGCCGCCACCTCGCAGAGGCTTCGCAATCCTCCCAAAGTTGAGCGCACTAGAGGCACCACCCTGACCACCTCCCGCAAGTAACATGGGCCTCATCTCCCTCGCCTGGTTCAATCTCTCCTTGACCGCCTGGAGTTGCTCGTCAAACTTCCTGTTCTGCAGCGCTAGCTTCTCTTGGCTTTCCATTAGGTGAGATTCAAGCGCTTGGATCCTCTCGTTCCTCGCGATCAGCTTCCTTTCGGCAATCGCAACCTCCTTCTTCAGCGAAGAGTTCTGCTCGACAAGCTGCTTCTGGACGTTGGTCAGTTGCTCGAGATTCCTCTCTAGGAACGCCATCTTCTTCTGTTGGGCCTTGCTGTTGCTACTTCGAACAACATTGTTGTACTGCTCCTTGGACTCGTCCAGGGAGATTTCGAGTTCAACCACCTGGTAGAAAGAGGAACCCCGAGGGGGTAGGGGGGGGGGGGGGGTGGGAGATGCGATGACGACGACAAAGGCAAGGATCATGACTTAGTCTGCGCAGTATGGTATCAAGACGATCTCCACGAGAAAGATTCAAAGAAGTTGTCGCTCACCTTTTCGCATCTGTTTTGCAGATCTCTCATCAGGCTCTTTTTCATATTGTCAAACTCGGCTAGCTGAGTGGCCATCGTCTTCCTCACCCTCTCCATCTCCCTGGCGGATTCTGCTAGGTTCTTGCCGCCTTCGACGCCGGCGGCAGTCACAGCGAACGCCCTCTTGAGCTCCTCGTTGGTGCTCTTCAAGTTCTCGTTGTTGGCAATCAGGCTGGCCGTCTCCTTGGCCTTAAGCTCAATCTGCCTCTTGAGGTCAGCGATCTCGCTGGCCTGAGCTTCTCGCTTGGAGGCGTATTGGGCCTCGAGCTTTGCTTTCAGATCCTGGATGGTCTCATCCATATCGACGTGGTTGGACTCCTCGTCCTTGATCGTCTTGTCCAGAAGCTCCTCGTACTCTGCCTCGAGTGTGGCCAGCCTGTTCTCCATCTCGTCACGCCTCTGCATAAGCAGCTCGTTCTCTTCCTGAGCCTGCCTGACCCTCTCTTGCTGCTCACGCACGAGTGTCTGAGACTCGAGCAGCTGCTCTCGAAGGGTGGAGAGGTCGTCAGCAGAGAGGCCACCTGAGATGCTGGCGTTCTCCAGTTTGCTCAGGGTCTCTCTGATTTGCTCCTCCTTCTCAGAGACGATCCCGGCGTTGAAGTCGGCCATCATCTTGGCCATCTTTTCTGCCTTCTTCCGTTCCTTGCCTTCCTGGGAAGGGTCTTTAGCGGATCGGCTGCTGTCGTTCAGCGACTTTCGCAACTCCTCTAGCTCGTTGCCAAGGTCCTGGTTCTGCTCCTTGAGGATGTCCATGGTGATGCTAGCCTCCTTGTGCTCGTATGTGACCCTCTCGAGCTGCAACTTGATCTCGTTGATTTCGGATGTCATCGCCTTGTTGTCCTGCGAAAGCGTGGCTTCCTGCTCCTTGTAGAAGTTGAGCTCTTCGCGAGCTTCTTTGAGTGACGCAACTGCAGCTTTGAGTGCCGTCTCTTTTTCGGCGATCTGGTCGCTGAGCTCATTCTCCCTCCGCAGGAACTCGTCCCTCTCGTCCTTGTCGAGCGTGACGGCGGTAGGGGTCTCCGGCCTCGAATTGAGATCTCGGAGTCCCTCGATCGCGGGAGTGTGTGGTCGAGCCAAGCCGTTCTGGGACTGTGGCCGTGTGATGGGAGCTCCCTCTCCGACCACAACCTTGCCCATCTCAGCCCACTCGTGCTCTGGGACCTTGCCCCCCGAGCGCCAGACCTTCAACTCGGCCTCAAGGTTGGCAATATACTGCTGGTACTTGTCTGCATCAGCCTTGGCCTTCTTGAGCAATGCCTTGAGTTCGGCAGGCGACAATTCGGCATTGATCTTGGCCTTGTTCTTGATCGACTTGGCGCGGATACCGAATCTGAGCGTGGACAAGGTCTCATCGCCATTGTACGCGCAGGGCGAGCAGTTGACGATCAGCGTGGTCCTCGAGTTACCTCCGAGCGACTCTTGAAGGATCCTTGTAAGCTTGGAGTCCCTGTAAGGGACATGCGACGACTTCCCATCCGTCAGGGCATTGATGACCATGCCAAGGGCACTCAGGCTCTTGTTGATCTTCTTTGCCTCTTCCAGCGTCTGTCCACTGGCACCCGTCTTTCCCACTTTTTCGGAACCAGCCAAATCGACGAGGTATAGGTTACCTGTCTTTTGGCTTCCCGTCTCCACATTTCGCTGTTGGATGGTGATCAAGAAGATGGAATGCGATCGCGAAGACTCGGCATTCATGTCTGTGGTTGAGAAGCGGGAGAGGAGTGAGCAGAGTGCCCATGTCGATGCTGGTTGAAACCAGAGGAAGAATCACACTCACTGGTAGAGGACACAGCTCTCGCTAAGCCACCCTGCCTCATGATCTCGTAGACGTCCGCCTGGCCACCCACGTAGAAATCGGACAAGCCCTTGACATAGACACCTTTATTTTTTTCCTCGTGGACCTGGAGATTGTCGTTTTGCGCTGGGGATGGGGAAAGGGTGATCAAGATTAGGATACAAGCTACGGAGAGAGGCGCAGACATGACATCGATGAGTCACTTACGAGCGAGCAGATCCCTGATCTTTTCCATGTAAATTTCCATGTACGAAACCTTGACAAGGTATTCTAAGTGAGGAGGACTCGCCATGATGTTTTCAAAAATTTGCTCGGTGATCCGAGGGATGATGCCTTTCAAGGTTTCATCGTCGATATCCGAACCCTGATGTCGCGGATCGATGAAAGGGTATTGAGAGACTTTGAATTAGCAAAGCTTGGCCTTTAATGTTCCTCTGGCGTGCGAGTATCTTTCTAAGGAGATTTCTCACCATCATTGTAAAAGTTTTACCAGAACCAGTCTGACCGTAGGCAAAGATGGTGCCGTTGTAGCCATTGAGGACGTCTGTTGCGCATGGACGAGGCCAGGGATGGGATAGCGGGTGAGAAAAGGCTCTGAACTCTTCCCTGCTTGGGATTCTCACCTACAGCTCTTAGTCGCCTCTTGACCATCCACCAACTTTTGGCTAGCTGGTTGCATTCGACTCACCGTCTACGGTCTCCTTGATACCGAACTCGAAGACATCCTTCTGCTTGGTTCCCATGGGGAAGACCCTGTCAAAGGCGAAACCATTCGCCTCTGGCCCTGACGAGCCGCTGCCTTTGGTCATCTTGACGAGAGTGCCATCATGGTCAAAGTCGACAACGATCTCGCCTCCTTCGCGGAGCTCCAGGGCGTTTGGAGGACGGAAGCGGCAGACTACCTTGACGTTGCCTGACATTGTGAGAAGGATGAGAGGGGTCGGGGCACGTTGGGGGCGGCCGAGGGAGACCGCCAAGCGTTTCTAGCAGAACTTGCAAAACCTGAGCTATCGATGGATCCTCTTGGGTTCGAGTTCGGGTGGGAGATTGAGTGGCCAGATCCGGAACACTGTTGACTCTCTCGAAAAGGCGACCAGAAGGGAGTGGGCAAGGCTGGATGTGGTGGTGGTGGTGGTGGTGGTGGTGGTGTTGGTGGTGAGTTAGGTTGCGTGCGTGTGCGTGTGCGTGTATGTATGCGTGTGAAAGAGAGAGGGAGGGAGAGGGTGAGACGAGGTTTGAGGTGGTCCAACTTGGTTTTCACGTTGATTCGTCTAAGACTGAGGTTGTTGGTGAGTGAGTGGGTGAGGTGAAGAGAGTGGTAGTAAGTACTGTAGCGAGGCAATCACTCACAAGTCACAACTCGTCGACTCGGGTGCTGAGTGAGAGCGTCAGCAGCAGTGAAAGAGAGTAGTAAACCAGAGTTCAGTCAAGAGTAAGGTTGGGTAGTCAAGAGCAGTCACGATTACTACAACACTTTGGGGGGTTGGGGG